TTTTGTGTCTTTTTTAAGTTGTTTTGTTGTTATTGGAGGTTGTTTTGTGACGTTTTAGGTTGTTTTCTGTGTATTTGAGGTTGTTTTGTATCTGTTTGAAGTTGTTTTGTGTCTGTTTGAAGTAGTTTTGTTGGTTTTTTAGGTTGTTTTGTGTCTCTTTGAGGTGGTTTTGTGTCTTTTTTAAGTTGTTTTGTGTGTATTTGAGTTTGTTTTGTGTCTGTTTGAAGTTGTTTTGTGTCTGTTTGAAGTAGTTTTTTTTTTAGGTTGTTTTGTGTCTGTTTGAAGTAGTTTTGTTGTTTTTTTAAGTTGTTTTGTGTCCCTTTGAGGTTGTTTTGTTGTTCTTTGACGTTGTTTGGTGTCTGAAGTTGTTTTGTTGTTTTTTTGGGTTGTTTTGTGTCTCTTTGGGGTTGTTTTGTGTCTTTTTTAGGTTGTTTTATTCTTCTTTGAAGCTGTTTTGTGTCTCTTTGAGGTTGTTTTGTGTCTTTTTGAGGTTGTTTTGTTTGTTCTTTGAGGTTGTTTTGTTGTTCTTTGAAGCTGTTTTGTGTCTTTTTTAGCTTGTTTTGTTTGTCTTTCAGGTTCTTTTGTTGTTCTTTGGGGTGGTTTTGTGTCTTTTTGAGGTTGTTTAGTGTCTTTTTGAGGTTGTTTTGTTTGTCTTTGAAGTTGTTTTGTTGTTCTTTGAAGCTATTTTGTATCTTTCTGAGGTTGTTTGATTTCTCTTTAAGGTTGTTATATGTCCATTTGATGCGATTTTTGTCTCTTTGAGGTTGTTTTATATTTTTTCTGAGGTTGTTTTGTGTCTCTGGGGTTGTTTTGTGTATCTTTGAAGTTGTTTTCTGTCTCTTTAAGGTATTTTTATGGCCCTTTGAGGTTGTTTTATGTATCTCCGCCCAGGACTCGACCCGTTAGAGGGAGTCCCAAGTGACCTGGCAGCGAGGTCAGAGGTCAGAGGTCACCATGGGGGATGGAGGAGTTTTCAACAAAAACACCTTCAAGAAATGTTTTGTTTCTTTATACGTTGAGTATATTAAACCTTTGAGGTCGTTTTCTGTTTTTTTTAAGATGTTTTCTGTTTCTTTGAGGTTATTTTGTTGTTCTTTCAGGCTGTTTTGTGTCTTTTTGAGTTTTTTTAATGTCTCTTTTAAGTTGTTTTATATCTTTTTGACGTTGTTTTGTTGTTGTTTGAGGTTGTTTTGTGTCTCTTTGATGATTTTCTGTCTCTTTCAGGTTGTTTTGTTTCTATTTGAGGTTGTTTTGTGTCTCTTTCAGGTTGTTTTGTGTCTCTTTAAGGTCTTTTTATGGCCCTTTGAGGTTGTTTTATGACTCGATATTTCTGCTGAAATGTAGGACGTTTTACACCTGTGAATCTTTCAGCTGTAGCGTAAATAACACAGATACAGATGTTATTCTCATCCAGCAAGTATCAGTGAGAGTTCTGACACATGTTTTTGAGTCTCTGAGGTTGTTTTGTGCCTTCTGAGGTTGTTTTGTGTCTCTTTGAGGTTATTTTGTTGTTCTTTGAGGTTGTTTTGTGTCATTTTGAGGTTGTTTTGTGTCTCTTTGAGGTTATTTTATTGTTCTTTCAGGTTGTTTTGTGTCTCTTTGAGGTTGTTTTATATCTTTTTAAAGTGATTTTGTGCCTTTTTGAGGTTGTTTTAGATCTTTATTAGGTTGTTTTGTGTCTCTTTAAGGTTGTTTTGTGTCCCTTTAATGTCATGTTGTGTCTCTTTGAGGTATTCTCATCCAGAAGCTCTCACAGTGAGAGTTCTGCCACATGTTTCCAGACATTTCCCTGATCAGAGTTTCTGGGCTGAGGATGTTCAGCTTTCTGTGGAAATGTGATTAAATATCAATAAAGCAGAAACAGTGACTCAGCTTCTGGCTCTTCCGCTCTAAAACAAAGGAAAAAGACCACAACAGAGACGGGAACTCCTCCTAAAATAAACCCGCTGGACATCGTTTCCACATTTAAACTTCGCTGATAACTTTATGACTTCAGTTTCTCACTTTCCACAGGAGGGTTGTTTTGTGTCACTTTTATGTTGTTTTTTGTCACTTTTATGTTGTTTTGTGTCACTTGTATGTGTTTTTGTCTCTTTCATGTAGTTTCGTGTCACTCTTATGTTTTTTGTATTACTTTTATGTTGTTTTGTGTGTGTTTTTTGTTGTTTTGTGTGTCTTTATGGTTGTTTTTTGTCACTTTTTTTGTTGTTTTGTTTAACGTTTATGTTGTTTTATGTCATTTTTATGTTTTTTGTGTCACTCTTATGTTGTTTTGTGTCACTCTTATGTTATTTTGTGTCAATTTCATGTTGTTTTGTCTCTTTCATGTTTTTTGTGTCTCTTTAATGTTGTTTTGTGTCACTTTTATGTCGTTTTGCGTCAATTTTATGTTTTTTTGTGTCTCTTTGTGGTTGTTTTGTGTCTCTTTTATGTGTTTTTGTGTCTCTTTAAGGTTGTTTTGTGTCTTTTATGATGTTTTGTGTCCTCTAGACAGTAGTGTCTGATATCATCTGCTACGAGGCCCAGAGGTCAAAGGTCACAGAGAAAAGAAGAATCCGGGTTTGTGCGTTTGCTGTAATCAGATCAGTCCCCCCCCCCAAAGGCCGCTTTTGTTACCGTGGGAACAGATGCTGGGAGCCGGCCGTTGGCACGGCAACGCGATGCTTATCTCTCCGGCTATGGGTCCTCCCTCGGGGGCCCAGAACCCGGAACCAGGACCACATCAGTCCAGTTCAGAACCAGGAACCAGGACCA